ATTGTTAACAACAATATACTTTATATGAATAGTTAATGTGGACAAAGGTACAAAAGTTATGTTGGTAAATATTGTTTACCTAAATAGTAGATGGCTGAACTCAACTTATACAAAAAAAACAGAAAGACGCAAATTTTATATTTCTCCATCAAAAATGTATTTTGTTCCAACAATTAAATTTGAAAAATCGACATTTATTCATGGTGAAATACCACATTGGAATGCCAAGTTTATAGAAATTCCATTTTTGGTGAATAATTATTATTTATAAGATAACTTTCGAAAATAAGATAATGAATCAAAAAATAATTTTATATAACATCAAGAATTAAATATTGAATCAAAATATAATTTTACAGGATAACAACGTTACAATGGTTATGAATCAAAATATAATTTTACAGGATAACAACGTTACAATGATTATATTTTTGCCAAATAAAAATATGGAACCTGGGAATCTGGAGTACTTGGAAAAAAAGCTTAACTTTTTCGAATTTGAATCAATTAGAACTGCATACACAAACAAATTTGAGCAAGATATGGATCTATATTTACCTAAGTTTATGACTGCATATCATGAAAATATGACAGATTTTTTTCGTATGGTAAGTATTGTGTAATTAACAAAATCTGTTTACAACTGATATATAAGAGATTTTGGATAAAATCTAGAAATTAAAACTGATAATTGCTTGTAGATGGGCGTTACTACGATGTTCGAGAATAATGCGGATTTTACACGTCTCTCAGAAATTCCTCTAAAAGTGAACAATATCGTTCAAACGGTTTCCGTAAAAATTAACGGAGAAAGTTCGGAAGCTCCAAATGATAACATCTGTGAGTAATAGAAAACTTTAGGCGAATACTGTGTGTATAAGCATCGCAATAAAAAAATTTTTGGTTACAGTTGACGAAAGCGAGATAAGAGAACCGGTAGATCCACTGCAAGAGTTGGTCGTAGATCGTCCGTTTCATTACTATATCGAAGTATACGGAGAGATAATGTTTGCTGGAACCGTGCGAGCACCAGAATTTATATTTCTGAGAAATGAATTATAAATTCTATTACATTCTTGTATTTATTGAAAGTTTATATCACACAATATATGTATATCTTAAATTTTTTTTAATTTTATCATATTAACGTATATAAAATTCAAGCATTAATAAATAAATAATCTGTATTTTGAAAATGTGCTTTAGTCATTTTTTGATCAATTTTCTTATTGCTTAAAAGTAGCCAAATAAATTTGCACTTTTGTGTGTTAAATACAACAAAATAACTATATATGCATATATAATCGAACAACTATGTACCTATAATTATATAATGTAAAAGAGAGAAACGATATATACGCGCTTTCTAAATTTGATGCGTTATATATTAATTGATCTTTTCACATAAATACATTATGAAATATCTTTCTCAAGATTTAAATGCTATATATATCTAGAAATTTGTAA